AACGAGGCCTCCAAGAGGTCCTTCAGGAAGGCCCGCAGAGGCCAAAATCATTGGTTTTCCTTAGGTTTCCGGAGGAATTTGCGCATGTTCGGCTTTCCGACGGCCCAAGACGGCCCAAGAGGCCCCCAAAGTCGTCCCAAGATCGCCCAAGAGGCCTCCAAGATGGCCCCATGACGGCCCAAGAGGTCCCCAAGACGGCCCCAAGAGGGCCCCAAGACGGCCCAAGAGACCTCCAACACGCCCAAGATGGCCTCCAAGACGCCCAAGATGGCCTCCAAGACGGCCCCGAAACGCCCCAAGAGGGTCCCCCGTTGGCCCAGAAAGGCCCTCAAGACGGCTCCCGACGGCGTCAGACGTGCCAGGAACCCACCAAGATGGCCGAAGTTGGCTCGAAGCTGGCCCAAGACGGCCCAAGAGGCCCCCAAGAGGGCCTCCAGGAAGGCCAGAAAAGGCCAAAAACCTTGATTGTCCTAAGGTTTTCGACGGATTTTGACATTTCCTTCTTTTCGGCCTTCCGACGGCCCGAGATGGCCCAAGAGCCCCCAATGATCGCCGAAAGATCGCCCAAGACGCCTCCAAGACGGCCAAGATGACCTTCAAGATGCCCACGTGTTCCCCGAAGGCTTTCCAAACCGATTCGGGGAACACATGGTCCGATGGCTTGGCAGGTCTGGCCTCAACGTTCGGCCACATCGGCGCTTCCAAAAAGACAGGGGGCGGCGGTGATTCGCCGTAGGCGTCTTCGATAAATGCAGAGTGAGAAGGGGAGGGAGGGAAAAAGAGAGGAGGGACGAGGGCGAAGGAGGATCACATCAGTCGGAGCGCCCTGGATCGGCGGCACTGGCTGGAGGCCACTACAATAACCCCGACCGCCCCATCTCCCCCATCTTCCCCCTCCAGGCAAGGGAAGAGACACAGACATGCAAAGTGTGGAACAAATCAAGACGGGAAATGTTTGCCCGATTTCGGTCTGCAAAGACCCTCGCCAAGCCTCGGGACCGTCAACACACGACCGTGAAAACACGATCCGGGAAGGGGAGGAGGAGGGCCACCCAGTGTCGCCCAGAGAGGGCGAGGACTGCTCGGGGCAAGGTCTACCCTGTTGCGCTCGCCGAAGCAGGGAAAGAGGAGGAGGGAGGGAGTAGGGGATCAGCCGTAACCCTCTGGGCGTACGCCTCGGGGCGTACTCCTCTGGGCGTGGCTGGCAGCCGGGCAGGGGAAAAAGAGGGGACGGGTGCGGCCATACCCCACTAGGCGTACCCCTCAGGCCGTGTACCCCTCTGGGTGTACCCTCATGGCGTACCCCCAGAGAGGAGGAGGAGGAGGAGGAGGAGGAGGAGGAGGAGGAGGAGGAGGAGGAGGAGGAGGAGAAGGATGAGGAGGAGGGGAGGGGGGGGGAAGAGGAGGAGGAGGAGGAGGACGTGTGGACTGGCGACATCTGGTGACCGTGAAGAAATTGGAAGAGGTACGTCCACCCCAAGAGAAGGCCATTCCAGCTGAGACGCCCCGCGGGAAGAGACACGCCTGCATCCACAACCGAGCGTTCTAGCTGAGACGTTCCACGACGCCAGTGCGAACGGGCGAACTGGGGACGCTTCACATGTTTAAACCTATGACGACAACAAACGAAACGTTCTCATCGATACTCAAAGCACAGCACGACAAACAAATACAACACACAGCGACGCGGCAATCATACCAAACAAGATCCACCATTAACACAAGTTGTACTGCATGTACACATGACAGGCCTCAACACACTCGCAGCAGCTCCCTTGTGGGAACCACTCGAAACAAAACAATTACCCTAAGGCTTTGACTCTCTGGCCCATAACTACGTTTGGCAATTGCACAGCTGCTGTGCCATGCGTCCGAAGCCCCGCTGGCAGCAGATGGATCGATCATTGCCCAGCAGGGAACAATTGCTGGGTGAAAGTCGAGGGAGGACGAGAACGCCGCGATGCCCCGCCCAAGGGTGGAAAACCCCATACCTCTGTCGGCTGTGAACCAACCGCGCCATGTGGTGCCGCCATTTTCGGAAACTGGAGGCCACTTCGAAGACCTAGGACCGTGATACCAAAACGGCGCGGGATGAAACAAGCAACACGAAAATCCACGAGAAGGGGGTCGAGGACTCCGGGCGCCAGACTGTCGAACGAAGAAGGTCTGGTGAGGCGGGAGACACACCGAGGGAGGACTCTGGCGCTCAGCAATCAACGCGATCTCGTGAACACCACGAGTGCATGGTCCGTTCCGGAATCCCTGAACGCAAACATGTTGCAATCTCTTGGAAGGCAACTTTTTACTTTCGCTGGCCGTCCGCCACGTTCCGCAAGCGGAGCCGCCCTCGTTTCCTCTCCGAAAGCTTCCGCAAGCCTTCCGCCGAGGAAGAGAGGATAACTCCATAGACCCTCGCAGGCGAGGCCCTTTCTGGAAAGCCGCCAGATGATGATTGCGACCATCATGGTGCAGACAGATGGGGATGGAATAGTCTGCTGCGCCTCCGAGCTCACTGCCACTTAAAAAGCATATCGCTCGACAGGATCTGCTCGTAGAGTCGCCGACCCCTTTGAGGCACCTGGGCAGATGAGAACGTTCCTCCCTCACCAGTCCCGTCCGCTTGAGGACCGAGTCTTCTCGGTCGATTGGGAGGGCAACCAACGAATTCACCAGAAAAACGGGCCAATGGCAAGTCTGACTTGGCTGGCGCGGGAACGGAAAGCGCTTTCCCCCAACAGGGCGAGAGAGATCAAAGGCTCGTCTGTTCGTGACAGGTCAGCCAACCGAACTGTCTGCCAGTCAAACAACTAGCTAGCTAGTCCACCAACCAGCCAATGCGCCAAGTAGCAAACCAACCATCCAGCCAATCAACAAACAAACCGGGCAGCCAACCAGAGAGCAGACCATCCAATCAAGCAGCCAGCCAGCCAGCCTACCAGACAGCAAAACCACGACACGCCTGGCCAGCCCAGACATAGGAACGGCCAACCATCCCAACAAGTCAACCAGACAGCTGACCATCCAGCCAACGAACCAGCTAAACAATCGACCAAACTAACAGCCAACAAATCAAGTGACCAGCAAACCAACCGCTCAGCCAGACAACAAGCCTGCCAGACAAGCACCGAATCAGGCAGCGAACCAACCAACAAACCACTCAACAAGCAAGCAAACAACCAACCAATTAACCAAACAACCAACAAGCCATCCATCAGGCTAACCTGCCAGCCAACCAGCCTTGTACTCATCTAGCCAATCAAGCAGCCAGCCAGCCAAACAATCGACCAGCCAAGCGGCCGACCAACCAACCAGCCATCCAACCAACTGGTTGACCAGCTACCCCGCCAAGTGGCCAACCAACCAACAAGGCAAGCAAGCAAACAATGCACCCCTCTAATGGCATTCGGATCCTTCTGCGCGTCCAAAACGCCAAACAACAATCGCAACGAGAGGATCCCAATGGAGCACGATCCGTGAGAACTATGCTAAAATAAGCGGAGGCCCGCATGCGAGGACGCCCACTGGGGCCGCAGGTGGAGACCCCTATTGAGACACGATCTGCGTGAGGGGTATGCCGAGGCGGTCGGAAGGACCGCATGCGTACTCGGCCACTCGAACTGTAGGTGGGGCTCCCTATCGGAGCGCGTCGGTGAGAGGGCAGACATGAACGTGGACTGGGACGGGCATGCGAACAGAGCAGAGAGCGGAGCGGCAGAAGCCACTGCATAGCAACCAGCAGCATGCGGCAGGCAACGCAGGAGCAGCGGCAGGAAGGATAGGATTGGGGGGGAGGGAATTCGCGGCGCTGCGGAGAGAAAGCGAGGGCCCAACGACACAGAGGGGAGGAAGAGAAAATACACATCGATGACTGAGTTGAGCTCGTTGGGGCTCCATCCATCCGATGCTGGAATACATCCATCATCACCACCTCGGGAATCCATCCCACGGGGCACAGTGGACATCAACACTTCTCCCAGGGACCCAACGGAATCCATGTTCACCGCACCCTGGGGGTCCCGAAGTGGAGGTGATGAAGACTCTCTACGCCTCAGGACCCTCAGAATCCAGTACCGGCGCCCCTCCCCTCCTTCGATCCGCCCCCCCTCCGCCTGTGCCGACCCGGGGCCCCGCGACGGCCCAAGATGGGCTCGGGGAGCCCCCGCGAAGGCCACAGAGGGCCCAAGGAGGCCCAGAAGGACCGACGACTCCCGAAGATCGGGTGAAGCGTTACCTTCCAAACCTACCAAGAGGGCCCTGCGACGACCCACGAAGGACAGAGGGGCTCGAAGGAGGAACCCCCAAAGGCACGAAGCGGACCGCGGGGCGGCCGGAGGAGGCTCCCGAGAGGACACCCAAGATCGCCCTGAGGAGGCCCCCACGCGATACGTGGTCGGTTGCGGAAATCCTGCACCCTAAAATGTTGCCATGTCGTTACAGGCGCATCTCTCACTTCCGCCGACCTTCCGCCGGCGGAACCGCGTCCACCGGCCTCCACGGGCCTTCCACCGCATTCCGCCGAGGAGGAGATGGCAACTCCTCCGATCCTCGAAGGCACAGGCCTTTCTGGAACCCGCCACGTAGCCGTCTGGCAGGGCTGCCGCGAAGCGTTGGGCATCTTCCACGTCAGGAGCGAAGCGACCGCAATGGAGCAGAGCCCAGCTAACGTTGCTGCCGTCAGCGGGGAGCCCTCCCAGAGCGGTTCCTCGTCGTCGGTCCTGAGGACAACCACAAGCAGCGTGACACAGCGGGTGCATACGGTAAGATACCCTGCAATGAGAAATCCAGAGGCACACTCGCCATGCGTGTCTGATCTTCCTGCAGGCAGACTGATTCCCTATCTGATGTACAAACTGCCATGTGATTCGCCCAATCATTAAGAAGGATTGGAGGGGGAAGACAGTGTGAGAGGAAGAAGCCGAAGCTCACTGGTACTGCTTTCTTCGGCTGCCCCGAGGACCTCCAGTGGCAGTCGAAATATCTGCACCTGAAGAAGATCGTGGCTACGTACCGTGTGCCCCAAGTAATCGGCTCACCAGAATGCACCCTGGCGCCTCCGAAAAGAACCGCTCCCCCTTGAGAGGGGCGGTACACCACCTCGTCGATCCGCGTGCCCCCGCCTCTGTACGCGCCCGCGTCGGACAGAGAGACCGTGGCGCTGACGATGGATCCGTCCCTGTGCGAGGCCAGCGAGGTCTTGCCTCCAGGCGCAGCGTACCGAACGATGAAGGAGTCGAAGGCCACCACGTCCTCTCGGCACGGGGCGAGGTGAGACAACAGCAACACTCGTACTCGGCCTCCCGACCCCTCCCGGGGCCCAAACGCGCACCCGTTTCCCGAGCTGCGTCCAGCAATGGCGACGGGGGGGGGCCCGAAGACGGACGAATTAGAGCAGGGGGAGGAGGAGGAGGAGGAGGAGGAGGAGGAGGAGGAGGAGGAGGAGGAGGAGGAGGAGGAGGAGGAGGAGGAGGACTGGATCGGGTTTCTTGCAGTGCTGCTTGTCAGGCGTGTGGGCACCCTTGGGGAACCAAGCAACACCGCTGTTTCTCCTGCCCCGCGCTCCATGATTTCCGTCAGCTTTTAGGGTTCGATCGTTTAGTCAGGACTGGAGAGTCGGCTACCTCCCCGAAGTGGCGGCTCTTCTATACTAGGGGGCTGCTTTCTTCGGCGTTTCGTTACTCACCCTGCCCCCTTGTACAGCAACCCTGGAGGTGGCACACCGTCCCGAGGTCTGGCCGTCTCGGAGGGATTGTGTGCCTGGACGGCTCCACCCTCGACCCCACTCTGCCGTGGCTTTCTCGAGCTGGGTGGGCCGTGGTGAGCGTGGACCCAGGGGGCCAGATCTCGGGCAGCTTGTTTGGGCCTCTCCCCCACCCTGTACAGTCCAACATGGGGGGGAGTTGTGGGCCCTGTACATGGCGCTCATGAATGCCGATGCTGGCCCCCTGGAAATATGGACGGACTGTAAAGTTATCGTTGACGTCTGGAGCTTAGGCCCCGACCAGGTTGTTTCGGGGCTTGCGTTTTCTGTGGTGTGGGTCAAGGTCTTGGCCAAAGCTCTGGACATAGGCTGGAGTCTCAGTTCTATCTGTAAGATTCGTTCCAATCTCTCTTGAAACCAGGCGCAGGTCCAAGGGTTCCCCTTCTATGCCTGGGTCGGCAACAGGACTGCCGCGCCTGGATCGGGACGGCACCTTGCTGCAGGAGCAGCCAGAAACCCTCCGTTCCTGGTATCATACGGTCTGCCAAGGAATCAAGCAGGTAGGGAAGCTGTTAGGTTTCATGCTGGGGGAAGCGTCTCGGAGGGGCTTGAGGGATGTGGAACGTTGCAAGGCCAAGTCCAAGGCCCCCCGCCGCTCCCCTGACGCCCCCCAGCTGGTTTTAGTTCCAGAGCCCAACGGACACACGATCTGTAGGGAAGGTAAATCTTATCTGTGTGACATCTGCGGGGAACGTGCGAAGTCCAGAGGAGCCCTCGCCGCGTTCTCCTGCCGAGGGATCCCCAAGATTGCCGCGTCGGCCCACCCCTCCCACGTGCTCTGGATGGGCTATGGGCCCTCGGGGAAGGTCGTTTGGTGTCGGAAATGCGCGGCGTTCGGGGTGCTTCGCTCCCGCTTCTTGAAGGAGAAATGCACTGGACGGCCTCGGAATGGGGCGGCAGGCAAGAGTCTGTCGATGCTCCTTGCGGGCGAGGACCCCAGCTCGAGGTGCCAGTTCGGTCGCAGCTCCCAAGTCAAGTTCGGGGAGGTGTAAGCGTGTTTTTGCTGTCTCTTGCGCTTCGGATGCGGGAGACTGCGGCTGCGTGGAAAGCGTGGAAAGGAGGAGGAGGAGGAAGAGGAGGAAGAGGAGGAGGAGGAGGGGGAGGAGGAGAAGGAGGAGAAAGAGGAGGAGGAGGGGGAGGAGGAGGAGGAGGAGGAGAGGGAGGAAGGAGGAGGGGGAGGAGGAGGAGGAGGGGGAGGGGGAGGAGGAGGAGGTGGAGGAGGAGGAGGAGGAGGAGGAGGAGGAGGAGGAGTAGGATTGCCTTCTCTCGCCCTCCGCCAGTCCTCGGCAGGCAGGCCGAAGGACCGCTCGATCTGCGCGATCAGGGGGCCCTCCACGCGGGACCGGAAGAGCTCGATGGCGTCCGGGTCCCCCAGCGTGCGCACCTTGACGTCGTCGGTGCGGTAGTTGAGGTGCTGAGCGGCCCGCCAGCCCACCTGCGAGGCCCGCCTCGTGGAGGCGCACGGCACGGCACGGTCATCCGAGTGAGGGGGCCGAGCGGTCAATCGCTATCCACGGGTGCGTGGCTGAAGTGTGATTCCGCGGGGTTCGCACCCTGTTCTTTTCAAAGGTAAGTCTGGGCGCTCTTCCGCGGGACTTCTTCACAATCTGTGCAGGTATCGCGCTCTCGCGTGGGACGTCCTCGAAATAGATTCAGACGCCGCGCCCTCGACACTCAGGAATCACGCTCTCGCTCTGGCTCTTCTCACAATTTACTTGGGGATCGCGCTATCGCTCGAGACCGCCCTCGCGATGCACGCAATACGATCTGCCCGTCTGGTTCTGCCACGTGGCTTCTGCTCCTAACGTCTCTCCTGCTGATTTCTCTCGTGCTCCATCCTTCCCCCTCCCCTTACATCCGTTCTCTCTTCCCCTGTTTTAGGGGCTGCGCTAAATGCGCGTGGCAGGTAAGGAAGATATGCCACCATGGGGTACGATCGAAGATGAGTAGGGCTGGTATCGAGGGTTCGGGATATACGTTTCGAATGGCACGCGAGCAGATAGGGGCGAACAATCTCAACATGTTTGTTACTGTTGTTGCTGCTGTTGCTCTCAATGTGTTTCAATGTCGCTCACTAGCGCGGGACTTCCGCAATCTGTGTTTCAAGAATCGCGCTCTCGCGTGGTATTTCCTCCCCATGTACTGCGGCGCCGTGCCCCCTAGACTTTGGAATCACGCTTTCGCTCTGGATTTCCTCACGAATTGCCTCGGAATCGCGCTATCACTTAAATCTTCCTTCATCATGGGTGACGCTTAAGTGGTTTGCCCGCTCGACCTGTTCATCCGGGCCTGCCCGCATGACCTGCCCGTGAATTCGAGTCCGCCCGCCCTGCCCCTAACCCTCCTCCTGCAGATTTCTCTCGTGCTCCATCATTCCCCGCCCTTGTCTGTTCACTCCTCACACCTTTCCCCTGTTCAAGGGGCTGCGCCAGCTACGCACGGCAGGTCCCGAATCTCTTTTTTTTTTTTTTTTTTTTTTCTCTCTCTCTCTCTCTCTCTCTCTATATATATATATGTATATATATATATATATACATACCTATACGACCACGCTTCGGGTGACAAGGAGGTTCGCGGGGGGGGGAGGAACCAACGTCTCACTCGATCGGTCTCACTATCGATCTCACTATCAATCTCACTATCGATCTCACTCGATCGATCTCACTCGATCGATCTCACAATCGATCTCACTCGATCTATTTCATTCGATCGATCTCAAAATCGATCTGACGATCGATATCACAATCGATATCATTATCGATCTCACGATCAATCTCACAATCGATCTCACATTCGGTCTCACTTTCGATCTCCCTGTCGATATCATAACCGATCTCACAATCAACGCCATCATCATCACCATCATCAACATCATCACCATCAATGTCATCAAAATCATCATCATCACCATCGGGACACCATCATCCTCATCTCAGCACCATCATCTTCAACATCATCACCATCGGCTTTCATCATCATCATCGGAACACCATCATCGTCACCATCATCATCAACACCATCATCATCCGGACATCAGCATCATCATCATCGGACCACAACCACCATCATGATCTCAAGATCATCATGGAATATCATCAACATCATCATCATCGGGACGCCAGCATCATCATCAGCAACATCATCATCATCATCAACATCATCATGATCATCATCGGGACACCATCATCATCGTCACCATCATCATCACCATCGTCAACATCATTATCGGGACACAATCATCATCAACATCAGCATCATCAGTATCACCATCATCGGGCCACCAGCATAAAAATCATCATCACCTCTTCTTGATCCTCATCATCAAAATCATAATCATCATCATCGGGACACCAGCATCGTCATCATCGTCATCATCAACATCATCATCATCTGGACACCATCATCATCACCATCATCATCAACAGCATAATCCACCTCATCATCATCATCCTCATCATCGGGACACCATCATCATATCCAACATCAACACCATTATCATCATCATCATCATCATCTCATCATCATCTCAATCATCAGGGTCGTCAACAGCATCATCATCATCGGGACACCATCATCATGAGCAGCAGCATCATCATCATCAACATCATCATCGGGACACCATCACCATCATCACCACCACCACCATCATCAACATCGTCAACATCATCATCATCATCATCACCATCATCATCATCATCACCATCATCATCGGGACACCATCATCACCACCATCACCATTCGCACCATCATCATCAACATCATCGACATCATCATCATCATCATCATCATCATCATCATCATCATCATCATAATCATAATCATCATCATCATCATCAACATCAGCATCATCATCATCATCATCATCATCATCATCATCATCATCATCATCATCATCATCATCATCGGGACACCGACGGGAGACTGGCGGGACACCGGCGGGACACCGCGGGCCACCGGCCCCGGAGAGGAATCATTTGTTCCGGCCGCGCCTCAGCCGGAAGCGGGACACCGGCGGGACACCGCGGGCCACCGGCCCCCGGAGAGGCATCATTTGGTCCGGCCGCGCCTCAGCTACAGGAGACTTTCTTCTCGCCCGCCCACGCAGCTTCGCCTCGCCCGCACGCACGGCACGCACGAACACGAAACCGAAATCGATTTCCCGGTAGGGGTGCTCTCCGTTCCACTTCGATCTCACCCCCTCACCTCCGATATATATATATATATATATATATATATATATATATACATATATACAAGTCTGCAGTGGCGCTTCGCGCCATGCACCTTGGTCCTTGAAGTTTGGCATGCAGGCGGAATGGCAGGAAGGTCAAGCCGACAATTTAGCGATAACTCCTGGTTGCCTTTTCTGGCATCGCCGCTATAATGATGTTATTCGTTATTATTCCTCCATGCTTATTGTTCCTCATTTTCGCCATACCCTGCGCATTCTCTCCATCCTCCTCAGCTCTTTTTTGCGGAGGCTCCTCCTTGGAGAGCCTCTAGGGGCCTCACAAAAGTTGTTCCGGGTTTTCTTAAGGCCTTCTGGGGGCCTCCTGGGCGTATTCTGGGGGCCTCCGGGGGCTTCCTCGGGCCACCCTGCCTCCAACCGCCGTCTCCCTGAACAACCGAATCACGATTTGGAATTCTTCGGAGGGTGTCTTTGGGCCATCTTGGGCCGCCATGGGGCTCTCTGAGGGCCATCTTGGACCCGTGTTGTGCCGTTTTGGGACTCTCTTGGACTGCCTGGAAGCCCTTTCGGATGGTTGTGGGGCGATTTGGGAGCCTCCCAGGCGGCTTCGGACGCCCAGAAGACCGCCGTCTTAGAGCGTCGGGAAGCCGAAAAGAGGAGAACCCCAAAATTCACCAAAAACCCATAGAAAATCAATGATTTGTGCCTCGGGGGGCCTTCTTGGGAGTGCTCTTGGAGGCCTCTTTGGGGCCGCCCTGGAGGCCTCTTGGGCCATCTTGAGGTCACGTCGGTCACTCTTGGAGCGCTCTTGTGCTGTCTTGGGGGTCTCTGGGACGTCTCCGATGACCCCCCTGATCGCCTTGAGTGTGCTGGGAAGGCTCGGCAAAACGCCTTGCGAGGCCTGGTGGCCGCCTCGAGGCCCGTCCGGAGGGCCCCAAAGCCCCAGGTCCCGGGAGTCCGGTTTTTTTTGGGGGGGTGACGGGTCTCCCCCCCGCCCGGGCTTATAAAAAGATAGGAAGAGAAATATATATATATATATATATATATATATATATAGCCAACAAGGTGGTAAGATCGAAGACGAAGAGGGCGGGTACCGAGGGCTTGGGATATACGTGTTGGCTGGCACGCGAGCGGGTAACAGCGAACAGTCGTCACATAATTGTTGGTGTTGTTATTGCTGTTGTTGATTGCTGTTGGTTTTTCGTTTCTGAAAATAATTATCGTTGATCCCCCTTGCCTGGTGACCATTGTGTTTTTCATTTAGAGTGCTCGTCCTGGGGCTCGCAGCTGGTTTTAAACAGTGGAAATTAGGGGGGTCACCAAACTGGCCCTCTGGCGCCCGAGTCACAACAACACCAACAAAAACAACACCAACAACAACACCATTCAGTTTACCCGAATGCATAGCAAGAACAATAACAACGGGTCCCGCCTGACACTCCCCCGGATGTTATTCAAAATCGCGCTCTCGCGCTGGAGCTCCTTGCGATTCATGGAGGAATCGCGCTCTCGCGTGGGACCTGGTCGCAATTGATTCAGACGCCGCGCCCTCGACGCTCACGAATCGCGCTCTCGTCGTGGTTTGTATCGCTCGAGACCCCCCTCTCGGTTCACCAGCACGCACGTTTCAGCAACCCGCGTGCGCGACCTGGCCGCCTGGGTCCGCCTTCCCGACCCGCCCGTTAGGGTCTACCCGCACAATCTGCCCGACTGGTTCTGCCACGCGCGTGTTTCTTCTGCCCCCGTTCCTGCTACGCTCTCTCGTGCTCCATCCTCCTCCCTCCCCACTGCCCCTTCCTTCCATCCGTCTTCCCGTCCCCAGCCGCATGGGCTGCACGAAATACGCTTTTCAGGTACGACAAATAGACACCTAAGGGGGTACGGTCGAAGACGATAAGCGCGGGTATTAAGGGCTTGGGATATAAGCGTTTGTTGGGCTGCAAAAGTATAAGAGGGAACCGTATTACAATGATTTTTGCGATCCCATTTCTAAGCAATAATTGTTGATCCTCCATCCAGGACACATGGTGTTTTTCATATACACTGCTCCTCCCGGGGCCCGCACCTCATTTGTACAAGGGGGTGCTGGGGGTTACCTAACTGGCCCCCTGGCGCCCGAATTGCAACAACAACGGCTCCCGCCTGAAACGCCGTCACAAGTTATTCCACAACCGACATCTCACGCGGTATTTTCGTAGAGTGTCTGCAAAAGTCGCGCTTTCGCGCGGAACTGCCTCGCAATGTGTTCAAACGCCG